TTTTTCTTTCCCATTTAAAACCCAATCTCTTTCCTCCTCCTAATCTGGCCCAAGCCCTCCCCTCCCCACCACCGCCCCCCCTCCCCCACCAACGCCGACGTCGCAACCTCCACTCCAACACCACCGTCTCCTCGTTCTCTCTCCTATGCCAGCGTCGATATGGGAGCCGTCAGGGCTGATTCCTTTAGAGTTCGGATGTCCAGTGAGCATTCCGGCGATGTAGGAGAGAGGAACAAGGTCGCCGGAGGATGATATGGTTCCTCTGAGAGGGAGGCAGGGGGTGATGTTGGTGTTGAGGAAGGAGGTGATGGCTTCGAGGATCTCGAAGCGGATGCCGGAGTATCCTTGCAGGAGGGTGTTGATGCGGACGAGCATGGCGGCTCGAGTGGCCGAGGTGGGCAGAGTGTTGCCGGTGTCTTTGCCGGAGTTGAAGATTCCAGCGTTGAGGAATCTGAAAGTAAAAGAATATTCGTTCTGTCAAGCCAATTTTTAATCACTCACCGAACATCGTTACCAATTAAGCTCATTAATTAAAATGAGAATTTACTGATGTCTCAGCTTAATTGCTTTGATAATATTTCTTTCATACTAAACATGGTGCTCCAAACATGGAGGTGCCCGAATATTGATTAGGATGTCAATTAGTGGTTAATGGAAAACCCCTCTTAATTTAAAAATTAAGAAGTTTAATCTTGTACTTTTTTTTGACTTTCGGATTGGGGTTAATTTATCACAGTCAGAAGTTTAGGCTACAAATAGTATTAAAATTGAGAAGTTTAATCCAGTCCTTTTGTCTTTCGGACGAGGTTAATAAGCTTATTGTTTTGGTCACAGGTGAGCGCGGGGCATGCAAAACCCCCACGTGATGTGAGAAACTGTAGGCCCTCAGAAAGAGGAGTAGCAGCAGCAAGATGCAGGGGGTGACACGTGAGGACTGCATCCTGGCGGACCTTGGTATTCTGTATGACATATGTTGCTGTTATGTGATATTTTGGTATTCTATGTGACATATGCTGCTGTTATGTGATATTTTTTACATTCTGTATGATATATTCTCATTACCAGTTATATATGCTGCAGTTTAAGTGTTATGTGATATTTTTACAGGTATGATTGTGGCATACATGCATATTTTTCATCAAGGCGATCCTAGAGGGAAGGGAGACAATGAATATTGAAGCCTTGCAAAGGGAGTCTGAGATGTTAGGAGCAGGACTTGCTGCTCAAATAATATGCGAATGTGGTGAATGGAAGAAGTTACGATTGAAGTTAGATATTGGTGATCCAGTATATCTTTTGTACTTTGGGGGTAATAATGTGCCATTGATTGAGTGGAAGTATTAGACAAACACATGTAACTATAATGTGATGATTTAAAATTGAAACCTGGTGTTGATTCTTCTTCTTCTATTTCTACTACTTGGAAGAGGGGAAGGTCTAAAAGTGGATTGTCCTGCAAATATTTTGGAAGTGTTTGAATAATTGGATTTGATTTGGTTTATCTTTGGCATGTTTATCTATGTTTGGGTACTAAGTATTGATGTAAATTTATTTAGATCAAAGTGTGAAAAGGTCTTATTACTTTATTATTTCAAAGCTCAAAATTATGGTTGTTATGTGACATATGCTGCTGTTATGTGATATTTTGGTGTTCTGTGTGACATATGCTACGGTGAAGAGGAGTGTCGGAGTATTTTGGCATAATCTGCCGGGGATTTTGCACGCGGTTGCAGGGATGAAATGATGAAAAGGGAGAGTTTGAGTTGAAGGTAAAGAGGAGTGTCGGAGTATTTTGGCACAATCTGCCGGGTATTTTGCACACGGTTGCAAGGGTGGAATGGTGAAAAGGGAGAGTTTGAGTTGAAGGTAAAGAGGAGTGTCGGAGTATTTTGGCACAATCTGCCGGGTATTTTGCACACGGTTGCAAGGGTGGAATGGTGAAAAGGGAGAGTTTGAGTTGAAGGTAAATAGGAGCGTCGGAGTATTTTGGCACAATCCGTCAGGGATTTTGCACACGGTTGCAAGGGTGGAATGGTGAAAAGGGAGAGTTTGAGTTGAAGGTAAAGAGGAGTGTCGGAGTATTTGAAGAACGAGTTGCTGGTTGTTGATTCCTGGGTCTTGGTGGGTAAAAAAGAATAAGGGGATGGTGATGAAGGAGGATGTGGAATGACTCTATTAGATCTAAATATCACATACAACAAATTACAGCCATGTGTCACGTATAAACAAATTACAGCCATATGACAAATAAGCACATTCACTATCAACAAATTACAACCAAATATCACATACAACACCCAAATATCACATATAAACAATAAATGTCACAAGAAACACCCAAATATCACGTATAAACAACAAATGTCACAAGTAACGCCCAAATATCACATACAACACTCAAATATCACATATAACACCCAAATATCACGTATAAACACCAAATGTCACAAGCAACACCAAATATCACATACAACACCTAAATATCACGTATAAACAATAAATGTCACATAAAAACAGCATATGTGACATGAAACCGTCATATGTCACATGAAACTATCATATGTCACATAAGCAAGTTGACTTCCATAAAAGGACACCTGGAGCAATTCTAAGATGGCTTGTCATATGAAGGACAAACAGAATTTTATAGCAAAAGTAAACAAGTTGACTTCCATTTCCTTATCAAATTTTACAAACCGATGAACTTTGTTAACCGTCCCAACGATAAATTTGCACAAAACTAACTATACTAATAACCACATTGGAAGAGATTCCATCAAGGCTTCTCAACCTCCTCCTCCTCCTTCCCAATCTAAGCCCACACATCTGCCTCATTGCCTTCTCAACCTTCTCCTCCTCCTCATTCGATTTTCTCCCCGAGACAAAGCCAGGTTTTTTCGTTAATTCCTCTCCCATCAATGCTTGCCGACTAACTTCTAACACCTAAAATTTAAAACAAATTTAACATGAGTAATTCAATAATTCATTAAAACGAGCAAAACTAAAGAAATCCACAGCATATATCACACATAATACCAAAATGTCACATAACAACAGCATATGTCACACATAATACCAAAATGTCACATAACAGCAGCATATGTCACACAGAATATTAAAATATCACATAACAACAGCATATATCACACAGAATATCGAAATGTCACATAACAGTAGCATATGTCACACAGAATACCAAAATATCATATAACAATATCATAAGTCACATAGAATACTAAAATATCACATAACAACAAAATATATCACCCATAATGTCACTATGTCACATGAATCTACATCATGAAATTTCTATTTTTTTGCTAAAAGGGAGTTCAATAGATCCAATAAACTCCCAACATCTTGGCTGTGAAGCCATAGCGATCACTAGCTTCATCAATCTGTTAGTGGAGAAGAACATAGGATGAATACTTTAAACATGAAAACCTTTAGAATTTGTTTTGCGATGATGTTTCCTTCATTCATATTCACTGGTGAATATCCATGTCCATACAACATAGTAGACATCCCACTCCTTTATGCGCACAGATCAATTACAAGGGTCTAAACAATAATGAACCGGGAAACTAAACGTAATTAATAATATTATATACCCCCAAAACCCATTTTCAATTTCTATACAATCAATGGAAAATATACAAATGGGCATAGTGTTAGTGAACTATGTACCAGAAGTGGCATATTGTGCTCTATCATCTGTTCTAAAACCGGCAAACATTTCTCAAAAATATCGGTAACTCCATCCCGAGAGTTGGTAATTGCTCCAACTGGATACAATTTTACGACGCAAATCACCCCACTCCTTCCTACAAAACATCAAACACAAAATGCTAAAAAAACAATTTTTTTTGAAAGGTAATCATTTTGACAAACACAATGTGAGCACTACCAAATGAACTCACTTGCAAACTCAATCTCTTCAAGCTTTGTATTATCCGTCAAATACAGCGTAATAGATGTAGGCGTCTAAAAATGCCTATGGGTGCCCGCACACAGCTCAAGACGAAGAGAAGGTGATGAACGCCGTTATCCGAATCAAAGAGGATTATCCAACGCCGACAAGCGCACATTTTCGTTGATGCCTTGGACGTTGACGGCAGTGATATTTTGAGAGAAAATCGTAACTCAAAATCTCGAGGGGTGTTTGTAGAATAACTAAGTCTTCGTTTTCATCCCTTAAAATATTTTCAAAACATGTTTCTTCCTCGGCGTCTGCGAAGATCGTTTCTGAGTGAGGGTTCGAGATCTGGAGGTTGAAGAAGAATAAGAAGAAGAGGGAGAGGGAGAGGGAGCGCGAGGGGTTTTTCTCGGACGAAAAGCGAAGGCGGAGGGGGAGGATGACGAGGGCTTGTCGTGTTTGGGGAGGGGGAGTTCTTCGGGTCAGCTCAAGGAGGAAAGGCTCAAGGAGGAAGAAAGGTACTGTAGTGTGGGAATATTAAATTGGGAAGGGTAATTTGGGAATAGATTTATTGGGCAGTGGGTTTACACAATATTTGGGGGTTACATACACTTCTTTTTCAATTTTAGGGTTTTTTGGTTATGGTTTTTGGGTCTGGGGTGGGGATGCATAGCCCAACTTTCTTTGGTTGCTCCAAGCAATTTTCCCAAAATTCAAACCATACCATATTAAAAAAACTGGATTACTGTAGCAAAAAATACCGTGCTTTGCACGGACCGCAAACTAGTTATGTAATAGGAGAAGGACAACTCATCTGTCCTCCATATTATCCTATATTTTGAAACCTATTGCAAAGCTCCTGCCATAATAACGATCAGTTACAAATCATCGCGGCCGTTTAAATCATCGTGGCCGTTTAAATTCCCTAATTTCTCGCTGCAACGTATAAGCGCGACAGCTGTACGCCACCTTCCACCAATCTTATCTCGCCACGCGTCCTTCAGTAAAACGCAGTCATGCGGCGGGCCGCATAAATCTCGGCCGTCAACAGTTTCGGCAACCGCCTTTTTGTCTCTATATAAAATTCGAAACTGAGGGGAATTAGGGTTTACGAGAAGGGAAGCGGAGGGAAACGGTGTTTTGTTTGATTCCATCTTATTCCTTTGAGACATGGAGGTGATCTCTCTTTCTCCATTGGGTCGTATTCTGAGTTCGCTGGATCGTAACTCTAAAAGGGAGTCGGAGTCGAAAGAGATGGTAAGTTTTCTTTTTTATTTGATTTTTTTAAGTTTTTTAAACCTTAAATTATTTTGTTTCCTTGGGGCTTTTCTTGTTATGTGCTGATATTTCGAATATTTTTAGGTTTTTATTGCATTTGTTTAATGTGATTTAGCCTCTAGGGAAATTGTCAGGTCTGAGGGAAGATTTTCCGTTCCGTCTATAATTTCCACTAATATACTCTTAAATAATACTTGGGTCCTCGTCACTATTAAAAAGGAGTAGAACATTGTAATTTACCCGAGATAATTTATCTTTTTTCTTTTTTTTTCTTTTTTCCTCTTTTCCCCTAAAATTTTCTGATCTTGCTTTCCTCTTTTTACCATCTAATGTTTTTCTTTTTCATATTTCTGCTTTTTTTATCATTTATTTATTTAGTTTCTTTTTTTTCTTCTTTTTCTCCCTTTTTTAGTTTTTAAATATATTTTAAACTCGTTATATTTAATTTATGACAAAATTTTGATTATTCTTTTGTCTCAATATAATTTGTCGTTAAGTGCGTCATTTGGTTAGGTGATAAGATTATAATTAATGGAGAGAAGAAAGTAGCCTTATGGTGCTGATTGAACGGATGGGTATTTGTTCAGAGGAATTATTTAAATAAGAAAAAAAAATCTATGCTATTATTCGATAAAAGCCTCACTTTTGGTTGCGTGAGCTTCATTTCCACATTCAAAAGTCCGACACCGAAGTTTTGTAATTAGTTTTCATTAAGTTTTGAAATTAGTTTTTATGTTAGCATCAAATATCAGGCATTAAACTAAAATATTTATTATGCACAAATGTATTGTGTCATGCATGCATTAGGTGCACCGGAAAATTAGTTAAAATAAGTAAAAGATTCAAATGTTGAAACTACACTTGTCATTTGACCCAAAAAATTGGGTTGCACACATGATCATTTAATAAAGGAAAGATAGAAATGTTGGGCTTCATACCCGAGCAACTCACATGCTAAAGTAATACTTGATATAACTCACATGCAAGGTATCTTACATAAATTGAAATTTAAACAATTTTCTTTTCTCCCTTAAAATGATGAAGAACATTTATATTTCTATAGAGGGCCTTATTTTTAGAAACTTTTAATCTGTATTAGCCTTTGGTTGCTTTTGGCTTTTTTTTATTAAATTTATTATAAAAATTGAATGGGCAAACTAGCAATTTGCTTGCCCAAAGTAGCTTACGTAGATGAGTTGATAAGCTACCTTTTTAAAAGCTATGGTGTATTAGCTTTTAAATTGGTAATATAAAACTAACTTATTTGGGATGCTACCAAAATATAAGCCCCCAAAAAATAAGTCACATATTTACTCTAGCTTTTGAACTGTAAATTAAGTTATTTATTGCTTCAATCACTTAAAGTCTTTAAGTTTTCTTCTAGTATTCCTCTTGCCCTAACATCCAACCATAAATAACATTAACTTCCATTTGTGAGAAACATTTTGTTACTATGGTTCGTAAAAAGATATGTAATGCTATTTATAACTCAAAAAGTCTAGCCCACTGTGCAAGATACAAATTTGTATTCCTTTGGTCCTGTTTTACTACTTAGGTAAAATTTTGCATTTTAGGATGTTATCCACTCTCCAAGAGCAACTCTTAAGTCCTCTAAGTTTGTTTTTTAAGTGTGTACTAGGTTGTTTGTAATTCAATTTCAAAGTTGCAAGTTTCTTTGCTATCTTTTAGTTGTAAGTTGTCTTGTTTTCTAATTATGGTCTAGTTATCTATGATAATATTATCTAGTTTGTTTGTAAATTTAATGTATGCCTTGTATACTTGTTTTGTTGTTGTGCATATACAACAAGAGTTTATAATACAAGTAAGAGGCAACTAATAAGTTTTAAGTGTAACTATTAAAATACATTTTATTACCGCATCCATATTATTGATCCAATTATTTCATTACGATCTTGGCATCATTTAACTTAAGAAGATAAAAAAATTCTCGTGGTTTGAGATCATGGCTTACAATTTAAGCATTTAAAATAATCATCCTTTTTTGGGACCATCATTGGCAATTAATTTATATTATGAGACGGTTTAGAAAATTTCCAACTTTTTTTAAGGCTAAATATAAAAAGACCCTCTTCAACCTTTTACAATTGTGACCTCCGTAACTTCCAAAATATCAACCTCGAACAATTATGACCTCCGTAACTTCCAAAATATCTAAAAACCTCCTTAAGTATAGGATATTAGAAAACTCCCATCTGAGTTTAAGATTTTATCAGAAAATTCCATTTAACTTGAAGTAGGGGTAGGCATGGATCGGTTCGGGTCAATTTAGATCGGGATTAGGATCACGGTTTGAGGTCTGACTGTGGACTCAACTTGGCCCATGGCAGACATAAGTTCGTGAAGGGTTCGACTTGGCCCGCGCCGGTTTGGATTTCGGACTACCCCATGGGTTTATTATTTCTTTTTTGTAATTACTATTATTTGGTTATATTTATTATATTAATATTTGTTGATTATATTTAATTTATTTTTAATTATTTTATAAGCTCTAAATATTATGATAATTGATGTTTATGAGTGCACTAACAAGGTCATGTTTCAGACGTAGACTTGAGCTATGAGATCTTTCAGTTTTTATTTCTTCTTTCTATAATTTTGTTTATTTATTTATTTTATATATGTAATATTAGAGTAATGAATAGATTATTGGATATAATGTAATATAATGAATGGTTATAATGTAAAATGTGAAGCTATGATATCTCTTAGTTTGAGGACTGGGCCCGATCGTGGCCAGGCGAAGTTGAAGTTAAAGCGGGTCAGGCTAAGCATTTTGGTCCCGAGTCTAGCCTCAGACTCGACATGGCCCGTGCCTAGGTGGAGATTGGGTCGATCTCAATAATATATGGGTCGGGCTAGTTATGGCCCATAACGGGTTGGGTCGGGTCGACTCGTAGGCCTACTTGGCCCCTACGGGTTGACTTGGCCCATAAGGCCATAACCACCCTAACCTTTTAGTGGGTTTTTTTTAATTAAAACCTTAAAGTTAAAGGAGTTTTCTAATAACCTCTAAAGTTAAAAAGGGTTTTTTTAATATTCTTTGAGTTATGGGGGATTATCTGATAATCATCCAAAGTTGGAGGTTTTTTTTATATTTATCCTTTTTTTATACATATGAACTTTAGAATGCATAAATCATAATGAGTGTTTTGATTTGGACATTGGTTGTGTGATGGAGGAATCTCAATCCTATATGTGGGTGAGATTAGTTGGATGGAAAGTACTCATGATACATCTTTTTTTCTTTTCAACTTTACAACCTTAGATGAGAGGTTGAAATGTTTTCACCTTACTACTAAGGACCAACTTTGTTCTTTTACCAAGGATACCCATTTTTCTTTATGTATATGCGTACTTATGTGTATACTTGCATGTATATATCAGTGTTATAGTAGTGGCCAATAGCGGGGCTATAGCGGCGCGAATAGCGGTGGCGGCCCTTCAGCACTACGCGTAGGGGTTTCGCGGTTGGCTTAAGCGGGAAAATCCGCTATTTATTCAAATAGCGCGTAAAAGCGGATTTTAGCGGGTTAAAAGCGGATTTTCGCGGTTAAAAGCGGATTTCTGTTGTTAAAAGCGGCTAAACCCGCTATCACACATATTATGATGCTATATTTCTTGAATTTCTTCATAGTTTCATTCATACAACAAGCTTATTAATTATTATTTATTGATAATACAAGAAATTTATAACTAATTGAATTTTTAGATTTTTTATGAATTTTCTTATTATTTAGGATATTTAAATATATTTAAATTTAACCGCTATTTGATTGTGCGCTATTTGCCGCGATTTCACCGCAATAGTTCGATATAGCCTTAGCGGTACCTCGCCGCGACGCGCCGCGATCCGCTATCAGCAACCTTGGTATATATATGTAAATACACACACACACACATATGTAATAATTGTGATCTTCACATTTCCATTTGCAAAATAAAGAATTTTCCACTGTATATGTATATGCATACATATGTGTAAGGAAAGTATTCATGCTACATTTCCCCCTTAACTTTACAACCTTAGATGAGAGGTTGAGATGCTTTCTCCTTACTACCAATGACCAACTTTGTTCTTTTACCATGGATACCCATTTTTCTTTATGTATATGCATAGTTGCGTATATATGTGTATATATGCATCAATTATACCTGGGCTGTAGGATCTGATCTAATACACACTAAAACACTAGAGGGGGGTGAATAGTATTTTTTTAAATTTTTTTGTAAAGTAGTTGATAAACTGCAAGAAAGATAGCAACAATCACAGAAAATCATAATCACAAACACAAGTTTTATACTGGTTCTATCTTCCCGGTGTACATCCAGTCCCCAAACAAATCCCGCTTGAGAGTTTCACTATGATTTTAAAAAACTATTACAAAATCAAAAGCAAACCTGACCAATTTGTAAGACTATGCAAATTGTACATAATCTCTACACCAAGAGATCACCTCACACCCGAGAGAACTTTCCTTGAAGCAAGAACAAAATTCTTATAAGCCTTGAATGTGTAGTGAAGTGCAGCAGTGGTTTAGGAACCTTTTTAATCTCTAAACAATGCCTAATCACTTTGAATATATGATGAAGATCAATGGCTATTTCAGAAATCACTTTTTCTCTACACTTGGCAAAAATTAAAATTTTAGAACTCATGAGAATGCACAAATGTTATAAAGCTTATGGATAGGATCGATGATAAGCAATTACTGAACTTAATACCTATTTATACCCCTTGAAAAGACAAGTTTTTAAACCCAATAAATGGATTAAAACGCCTATAATCAGTCAGTAATTCAAACTTCAAACAGTCAGAAAAACTGTCTCTGTAGTCGACTATAACCCTTAGTAGTCGACTACTCCAAGTTCATACAGACTCTGTGAAGTCAGGATATTTCTTAGTAGTCGACTACTTTGGTCATTAGTCAACTACTCTGTAAAGACAGAAAGTCTGAAAT